AGTTCTGTATGCACACGGCTGAACTTTATTGTGCCAGAAGTGAATTTTGGATCCAGGAATTTTGGATCCAGGATTTTTTGTTATTTCACTATGATTCAAAGGTTGATAAACGAGGGTTTTCCGTTTATTATTTCCAGAATAATCAGCGTTTTATTTAACGGGAGAAAAATAAAATCAGCGCTCAGCAGTTGCGACAAAAGATTCATTACCCCAGTGATGGTCTCCTCCAGAAGTTGATTTAATCCGCGTCTTCGGTGAGTGGTTTGTTTTTCTGTTCCCCAAGGCGCAATTATATCGTCTGCGGGGAGCGGTACTCGATCACAATTTCCTGTTTGAACTCGATTAATATCTATTCATCCACCGCTTCGTTCCTCACAATCAGAAACGAGATGCAAGAGGGAGGAAACCATCATTTGTTTCAATCGACCGAAGAAGCCGGTTACCGTAGTTTCTTGACCGAATTGCAGAAATGAGTCAACCGAGTCCACTCAGTCAGCACCTGAGTAATCCGATTACGGAAACCCCTAATCTTCCAATCTCCCATTTCGGCATATTTGGCATCTTTAACTGTGACTCTTGAAATGCTATTGTTGAAACAAAGTAACATTTGGTATAGTCCGAGTTCGAAAATAAAACATTTATTTTAAATGTTTTTAAAGAAATAACGGTCTGAAACAACATGTTTCATCTACAAAATCTAAAACGGTGTTCTAACTTCATTATAGAATCAATGTTGCCACACACCGAAAAGAAATATATCGAAGAATTACAGAAGAGCTGTTGCCACTCAACAAAAATATAGTTACAAAATCATGAGGCAATACTTTACGCAATAATAAAACAAAAAAATACTCTCGAAAAATAAATAATAATAATAAAAAAATAGTAATAATAAAATTCTTATTTCAAAATGTTGCCAACAAAAATAAAAGAAATATCAGCCCAACCATAATTGCAAGTATTTCATTCTTCTCTTAAGAATTATTTATTACACGTATGTTAAATAATTGCACGAATGGTGCTACTAACGGCAACCGCCGTAATAAAAAATGAAGTTACGCTCGCAAAAGGGCAGTTTTTTTCGGTGCCGAGTGGATGTTATCCAGTCTCCAGCCCAGTTGTCTCGATTCAACTCCAGTAGACTTACGGTTCTGTAAAAGCTGAGGTAGAATCCAGTCTAACCTTGATGGAAATTTATGCCAGGGGAGTTACGTGGTTTTTGGCCTATGCAAGACATGGTCTTCTCCAGCAGCTGCCAGTTAAAAGCGAGCATTCCTTAGGAGTTTAACTTCATAAAAGAGTCTGCACCTAAGATGTTATGTTTATTCTGAATTTCAAGTGTTCATCCTTGAAAGCTTTTGCTGTTAAATAAGCCATTAAGGTTCTGATCAAGGTTTGATGTTCTTCAAAATTAAGATTCGAAGTGAGATATTTTCAAACAGGAATAACGCCAAAAATCAACAGGTATATGTGTCCTTGTTGTTTAAGGATGTATATTTTATCAAAAAATTAATGAATTAGACTATCACTGAAACGTTAAAAGATAAGGACTGATTCTGCGAATTTAAGATGCATTGGTTGTCGCACAATATTATTCAAAAAGCAGTAAAACTTCTAAAACTAAGGACTCGCCTCGTGCCCGTAATATTGTTCGGTTTGATGTTCGAATCCCACGAACGGGCTGACTGCCTGGAAACTAGTACACACGTTACACACGGAAACGCGTACTTGTTTCAGTTTCCCTTAGAAAGTTCTCCACGAAGACATGCCTCCTCTTAGGCAGGTAGCCACCGAGGCTTTGCCATAATCACACAAAAACAGATTATCTGCAGTTCATACTGCATTTAATTTTTGTTGCTGTTACTTAGACTCACTTGTTTGACAATAACATTAGCCCAAGCCCACGAAATTCCTCGTGTCAAGGGGCTCGCAAGACACGCCTGTCGTTGGCACGCCTTCGGCACGGCAGTCAGCAACGCATGCCACTATACCGGTTGGACGGCATTTGATTTTTAATGGTCGAAGAGGCTGGCTACTTCCTTTAAAAAATTTCTTAAATCAAACATTAAGTTTTTTGAATTGCTGCGAAATCAGTAATTGCACGATTAACTATAATCGTGACTAAAAACGCAAAATTAAAAAGGAAACTAATTATAACAATAAAAATTTAGATTTATTAATTCTTCATAATGATTGGGAATAATTTACTGAGTTATTATGAAATATTCTGTGAGTTATCTACCTCACGAAGAATACATTCCCGGATGATCTTCGAAGAGAAATTATCGTAATTATTTCAACAGATGACAGATAACTCACGCTTGTGAAAGCTATCACACACCTTCTGAATATCAGTTTGTAGTGCTGACTCTCACTCGAGTGTGAAAGCTTTGAAAAATCCACAGAATATGATGCCATATACCTACGGAAAGTGTTAGTTTTTTTAAACTTATTCTAAAATCAAATTTAGAAAACCTGAAAAAAAAAAAAAAAATGCCTTAAAACCAACGGAAAGTCTAATCACAAGACTTAAGTTGTAAAACGTGCACCACTCCATCTCTGTCAATGACGAAACTTGTACGAGTAATAAATGGCAAACAGGAAATAGTTCACTGCATCACTTCCGGGAAGCATTTTGATATCGTAAATAATTTTTAATCCTGTCGTAGATGATCTTAACTTTTTTTTTTTTTTTTTTTAAATCCATGCGTAGACTTTATTAAACTACGGCAAAGCATTGTGTAATTTGAAGATGAGAAACTTTTTTATTTGACTGAAGCTAATTATTTTATATTGATTTCGCTTAACAAGATAATTTTATAACTTTCTTAATGAGTTAATTTTGATATATAACATATACCCATCAGGTATTTAATGATTGGTGTCCGAATATATGTTAGATTACTTTTCAAATTGTTGGACCAAATATTAGAGCCCTGAATTAAGATATTAAAAAATGAAGAATCTGCAAAAATGCATGAATGTTTTCTTCGCATTGTGAAAGAACAACGGTACCTAGAGCCATCCAATTTTAAATTACGTAGTCCTCCAACCGAACATGGGAACTTGGAAGCACGAATTTTGAATTTCGAATTTGTTTTATTATTTATTTCAAATTTTTTAAAACTATAACTAATTTTTGATAAAAAAAAATCAACGATTTCAAAGCCAGCAATGGCAACACTATGCGGGAAAAAAAAAAAAAAAAAAAAAAACTTTATCTCCAGCGTTCGACACAGAGTATCAAAAATTCTAAAGCTCTGCTATTTTTAAATATTTTGTGATACTGCTGTTGAATTGAATTTTATGTAGTTTAAGTGCGAAGAATATATTTAGTAAATAAAGGTAATACACAAAACGTTAAAAAAACGCCCTTTCGGGTGTAATATAAAATCTAAAAGCTTTAAGATTTTTTTTAAAAATCTTTTGTCTTTTTAAATTTATTAAAATAGTTTTTCTATTCATATTTTTTCTATTAACTTGGTGCCATTTGGAAGTCTACATAAAGGATAACGAAAAATTACAAATACTTGCAAAACGGGGTTAAGATATTTAGCATTGTGTACACAAATAGACACTAGTTATGCATACAGAGCTGGATTAGCATCTAAGCAAGGAAAGGAAGCACAACAAAATTTTATCATTGCCGGTTTCATCATATAATGTGTGATGCAAATAAACCAAGACCAAGAAAGAAGGAATGTGGAAAATTAGATGTAAATATATGGAGGTGGGTACCAAAACCTTTTAAGTGCTTCTAAAAGTCTTAATCCGACCTTGAACACATAACATAAATATATTGCTAAAATCTGTAACGCATTCCAGTTAGCCTAAAATTTTACTAAAGAATCAACATCACTATCACTATCCCAAGTTTATTGAAAAATGATTGAGGAGGGTGACAAATTTGTCTTAGACAATCTTGTTTTCTAAACAGTGGTAGTTCGGTCCGAGGTTTGAATCCCGCGAACGGGTTGGCTGCATGGGTGTTTTCGTGGTTTTCCTCATGTGTAACATGAATACGATCTGGTTTCCCTTAGAAAATCCTCCGCGAAGGCATCCTTCTCCTCAGGCAGAAAGCCCTCGAGGCTTTGCCATAATCTTACAAACCAAACCAAAACATCTCTTTACTCAGAAAGCCCTCGTGCGCTTTGCCGAATTGGAATGACTTACTTAATCAAAAAGTGGGGGTTATGCGGAAATGGCGTTAAATTCTACAAATTAACCTGTGCGGAAACATTCCTGCTTTCAATTTATACTGAAATTGGGCCCAAAACCTGTCCTAAACCAAATAAAATTTTAAATGTAAACATGTGATTCTCCTTTTTTCGAATTCAAAAGCAGAATCCCTCTCCCGGTATCCATACATATACTTCAACGATCCCGAATCAGATGTACTTACAACATAAATTGACAATAATCTTGGCGATCTGATATATGTATTCTCGGAATCCATATAAGTAGTTCCAATGCTCTATGTCACGAGAATAACACTTATAAAATAAGATGAGAATTCTTCTTCGTAATAAGATATATTCTCTGTCGTTGGCTTCCTTATTTCAATAAGAGAAAGTGGTGTTTTATCGGCCAAAGAACAAAGTTCAAGGATATAAAATTAACCTTGGAAATAATTTTACCTTAACCCTCAGATTTGCTATGCTCAGGGGAATAGGCATGCGTATTCTTTATCGTGGGAAAGAACAGTTTTATGACTGTGACGAAATGTGATGATCTAGAATTCATTTGCAGTTTTCGTGCTGGAGTCGTTTCAAAATTAGCCACGAGGGTGTCACGAGTTAGCGTTTCTTTAAGCTTGCTGCCGAGAATGATTCGAATCTGCGATGAGAAATGTCCTTGAAAGTGAGCATTTAATGATGACTTATCAAAAGCTCATTGTTTGGGACGGGGAATCAAATTGCAGTTAGGGTGTTATATTTTTGTCAATGTTTTGATTTTTTTTTTTTTTTTTTTTTTTTTTTTTTTTTTTACCTTCCTTTTAGGTCTTGGGTGATGACCACCGATCATCCGATGTTGAGAAGCTGTGGTTTGTCAACCACACAGAATGTGAATGCCAACCCAAACCGACAGCTGACGTGATGACGACAACGACGACAACTACACTCTCATCCCTGGACGAAAATCTAGTTGAACAACATCCGCAAAGAGATGAACATAATCCCAAGTATATAATTTTAAGTACTGCAATGCTCAAAATTGCTATGCTGCAAAAGCAAAGCAAGATATAATCATATGCTTAAAAACTTTGAAATGCTGGTTTCAGTATATAATAAAATAGACAAAGGACATTTAAAACTAAAAGAATTTAGAAAACGCCTCTTATATGTATTTCTAAATTCTTTTAGTTTTAAAGGACTTTTCTCTATTTTATTATTTTCTCTATTACTCTTGTCTTACGTTCTATTATAAGGGTTTAATAGTGATTTTTTCTAAAAATGCAAAAGAACGTTTCTGCTTTTGTTATAGGACTAGTTTCCATTTTCTTTCATTCATATTACCTATGTTGTAATATTAGTAAAACCGTACTGAGGTTTAAGTAAATGCGAAGTCTTAAGCATTTTATTTTGGGTTTAATTTTTTTAAACAATCAAAAATAGTATGACATTATGAATAAATAGTATCTTAAGATGTTTGAAAATTTTTTCTCTTACCCTCTCTCTTTTTTTAGCACAAAAGAAAAGTTGCCCAGAAGGGCTATGAATTTCGTTTTGCCATTTTGCGTTGGTTAACTATAAAACGGCGTTTCACTTTTCAAATTCTTGCCACCAAATATTAGAGCCCTGGATTCAGAGCCGGATTTAGATTTGATAAGCTATTTGAAATATGAGGCCCTGTATGAGTGTGTTATACTATATTTTAATTTTTTGGCGGGGCCCCAAGAAAGTGGGGGCCCTAAGCTATAGCTTTTATACGTAAATCCTGCACTGCCTGCATTATATTTAAAGAAATTAAATAATAAAAAATCTGCTCGAATGTATGTATGTTTCACGCTCTGTGAAAAAGCAACGGCACCTAGAGACATCCAATTTTGAATAACGTAGTCCTCTACTCGAATATGGACATCTGGAAGCCCGGATTTGGAATTTTTTTATTATCTGTTTCATATTTTGTAAAACTTTGACGAAGTTTTGATTAACAAGCTCAACGATTTCGAACGGAGCAATCGCAACACTGTAAGGAGGGGGGAAAAATATCTCCAACGCGCTAGACTGTATACCGGAAATTCTAAAGATATGCTCTTTTTAAATATTTTGCGCTATTGCTACACAGTTCGTTACAAAAAGCGTAAATTGGTTAGCTACTTTCAATAACAAATTTTAATGTTAGAAAATGTTATTGGGTCGGTCCATAAATTCGTGCGCATTTTTTTGGTAATTTTTTAAATAATATAAAAAAACACAATTTAACATTTTAATCAATTCTGTATTTCACTCCATTATCTACAATGTCTCGCCATCTTACAGGCAGCTTTTTTATGCCATTGCTGTAGAAAGACTCTGCTTTTCATGGACAAAAACTTCAAAGTTCATTGTGTACATCCTGTTTAGAATTTTTTTCACAGTAAAATATTTTGTTAAGGCACGCAAAATAAGTGAAAATTACTTGGGGCAATATCTGGAGGAGTAAGCAAGGATGTAGGCAAAAACTCCTAATTAAATTCACTAATTTTTTGCAGCGTTGTTCGGGCCGTATGCGGTCTAGCGTTATCATGATGAAACAACACTTGATATTCACCAATCGTGGGCGTTTTATGATCCATTCTGAGTTTAGACTGCAAAGTTGTTCACTATAAACTTCTGAATGAATCGTTTGATTTGGTTCTAACAGTTCAAAACGTCCTGAACGGGGTTCATCATCCATGCTGCTTTTTCCAACTTTAAATTTTGTAAACCATTTGTGGGCAGTTCTTACAGTAATAGTGTCTTCACCGTGTACACTATTCATTTTTATTGCTGCAGACCTGGCAGATTCACCACACGAAAATGAAAAATGTAGCACAGCAGGTTTGTACTGATTATCTATATTTAGCTTCTATGGGTACTAAAATACGTTCGATATTTACGAAAGTTGGTGATGAACTGAATAATACGTTAGTCAAACGATGACAAGTAGTAAATGCGTCATAGTGAATTCCACTCATACTCTTTAATGCGCACGAACTTATGGACTGACCCGATATATACACTACTGTGAAAGCTGATGTCTTTTGAGTATAAATTAATGCTATTAGTTTTCCTTTCTCTTTTTTTAGTTGGATTGTTTATAACACAAAATTCTTTTAATATTCACTGATGTATTCCGAAATTAAAAGTTAAAAATCATAAGTTTTAAAAATAAATTTCTGAATTTTCGATCGAATAGCTAATTTGGCGCCGCTTCTATTTGTTGACCTGAGGCAAGTGCCTCACCCTGGTGAAGAATACATCAAGATGCTTATTTGGGAATTTTGTATTTATTTTGCTTTCTTGTATTCTTAATTTGGAAAAAATAATTGCTTGTAAAGATACATATTTTCGAAGAGAGACATCATAAATGTTTTTTTTATGCAATGAAAACAGGGCATACCTTCTAAGACCTGTCCGGTGATGCAAATGAAGAAGTAAGGACTTCACAAAAGGAAATTTTGTGAAGCTCTGTAAACATTTTAAATGAAACTTATAAAGTTAAGTTTAGATTTTTAATATGGAATAGCAAATAAAAGATCCTGAAAAGACATATGCGTTTTCTGAAATCTGAAATTTATTTCAAAGCAATCAGTATCGCGTATTTTTCGATATTTACACGGTTTTATTCAAAATTCCAGAGCTAGTTAATTCGCCGCTCCTAAAATACGATTATTGTAACTTTCAGTTTAATTTTGGATGGTATCATTTTTGAAACATCATTTATTAACCGATTTTGAATTCACAGACATATGTTCGTGGCATTTTATGTAAAGAGTCGTATGCACAAGAAATTACTCAATCGACTGTTATTTTCAAATTAAATGCGGCGGACCACACAGAGGTGAGAAAATTGTGTGGGCGGTCCCCGCAAGTCGCGTTTTCAAGCTTTTATGTCGCATCATACGACACGGTCTCGCATCGCAGACGCAATAATGCGTTCCAGTTGACACTACAAGGAGACATAACTTGACGACCAGTATCAAGAGATTTTAGAGTCCTCATTGTGTCTGCTCTTAGAGCCTTGCAGTTGCTTTCAAAGTTATTTTTTATAATAATTTAACGGCAAAAAACAAAAAGCAAGAAACAATTTTTTTTCGTATATAACATCTTTATTTTCTTTGTAGCGGTTGCTAAATCCTTGTTGATTTTATCCATGACAACACTTCGAAACTAAAACTATAGGTGAAGTGAAAGTAGTAGTTATTATCTAGTAGAAGTAGTTGTAGTTATTATGACCAATAATAATTGTTGCCTACAGCCTCTCGATTTGAGGAGGGCTGACGAACCAATGATCCTGTTTTTCCTCTCATATCGTTCCAGATATGACGAATCAGAGGATATAAAATACAACTGAAAAATTAAAGAGGCGTGGCTAATTCAGTCTGCCGATTGTTTCCATCGGAACAATACGCCAGAATGCTCTCGACTAGAGATACCCTCGTTAGCGGGTTCCTCACGTCTCGAGAACTGTACTTAACAACCGTAATTGTTCTATGCTATCCATGAATTATATGTATATATATGTAAAGAGCTTCTTGTAATTGTAATAAATATGTTTTGTTCCAGAAATGCAGTAAGTATTACGCAAGCTCACAAATGTACTAATCATTGTATGGAGTCAGGAGCGCTACCTGTCGCCAGTAACCACATAAACATTACCTGCGCTCATTTTTCTTTTAACAACGCGAAGAGGAACAGCTAGCTTCGAGAGTTGCATTTAATCCTTGAGTTAGGGGTTGGGGCATCTCTATTATATGAACACAAAATGATATATGCAGATTGATAAAATGTAATCTTAGATAGGTGTCAAAGTTAATACACAGTTAGTAATGAGTACTGTTTTGTGTTACGAGCAAACAAACTTTAAAAGTTAATATTCCCCATTCTAGGTGCCGATCGTGCCCTTCTCCTTTTTGTGTTCGACAATTAGGGAAAGGAATATGCAGCTGCGATTGCTTCGATAGGCATAAGCCGTGCCTGAGAATCAAGAGAGGCAGAGATGCGCTTTCAGACATTGAAAGGAGGTAGGTCTTCCTTCTCCCCATCAGATTTCTTGATTAGAATAGCATAAGTATACACTTTTTTAATTTTAATTAATAACTACCCTTTTATATAAAATAAAATTATATTATTTGTATAAATGAATAATTTTATTAAAAATATGATTATAAATATATAATTTATATTATAAATATATAATTTATATATTTTGAATTTATATATAACAGTTGTAAATTATATTTAATCTGTAATCTATGTATAATGATACACTGACCTCCGAAAGTCGGGTAAGCGTCTGTAAATTCTACGCAGCGCAAAAAATGTGCTTTGATTGACTCCAAATTTCACACTAAGTTAGTCAATTAAATTTTGTTCTTGAAGATAATAAACGAAGAATGACGTGCAATAAAATTATGTTTACATATATTTTAAATTGTCAAGTGCTTAGTGCATTCAGGAAAAAAGTTTAGTATGTAGCACATGCAAAATGATAAACTTTAATATAGGATATGACTTTCCTTGACTGTAACACAAGCTCCTGGTCTTTACGTTTCACCTCTCCAATTGGGTGACCTAGCACAGAAGTGGGCGATATCTGACTTTACCGCAGAATAGCTTTTGGAACGACGTTTAAGATGACTGATGATCAGAGATAGCTTTTCCAAGGTCATCCCAAAGTTTTTCTGTGGGAATTTGGCCTTGGCAACATATTGGCCATTACACACTCCACAAGCCGCATTTTGAACTTGGGACTTTTTTTTAATTTAGCAAAAATCTGGATCAGGGATCCTCAACCTTTTTGTCTCTATGAGCACATTCTAGAATATCTGTTGGACGACGGGCATCATTTACTTTTTGAAGGTGAACTTAGAGTTGGATAGAGTTAATAATACTTGCATATGAAAAAAAGAGATCGGTCGCATTTCTCTTTGTGCTGGTATCTGTGTTGGAGGCAACTTCCATTTAATTAAAAATGAGAAAACTTTCATATGAAATTTTATTCAAAACTGAAACGTTTTTATTGCGATCGCACAGCGGTGGGCTCATGTTGAACGATCATGGGTACCATGGTGCCTGCGGGCATAAAGTTTGAGAAGCGATATTTGGACTAACAGCTGTAGCTCAGAGCTCTCATGTCCCTGCGATATCCTAAAGAAAATTCAGCCCATAACCATTCCAATCCCATAATTAACAACGTGGTGTTTAATATTGTTATTAATCTGGTGTTACATTTTCTTTATCCTTTTCAGAACCCTTTCATACTTCCTTTTCTTGCCTGATTTTTCCGAGAAGACTATATTGTACCATCAGACTTTTGAAGTCTCGTGCTTTGACATCCATTTCATGGTATTCCGTTAGCCTTAAATGTCAAATAGACAAATGTTTGTTGTTCTTGCTCGTAGTGCTTTAATGTTATAGAACTGGTATCCTTTCTGCTACCTTTTTGGTAGCCAGTTCTTGAAGAAGTGGTGCTGTCCTTTGACGGCCCCGTATGCCAGTTATAATCTTCTGCTATATATTTTTTTTCCAGTTGCTGGTTTAAAATGTATGCTTGTCTTTGAAAATATGGTCAAACCATGAACTGCTGCTATTTGCTTATCATATTTCATATTGTATACGTTGGGAAAAAGAACTGGGTACTAGTCTATTTTTGAAATTTTCTTAGTGTATGGACCAATTAGTTAACTTCTAGGACTTCCTAGTTCACCTAGAAGTTCCTCCAAAATCTATTCTAACTGTTAAGTTAAAGATAGTACAATTGATCTGCTGCGAGCTTAAAATTCTTGTTCAGCATTTCGGCAATACCAAGATGATTTCCTTGGCTTCATTTTTCAGCTTAATACTTGCTTACCACCAGCTGATTTGCTGTACTTCCTGTTATATGACTATCAGCATTTGTACTCAATTGGTAGGCCATTCTGTTGTCACAAAAATCTCTATAAAATATTAAAATTTGTAGCTGAATTTATAAAGTGACTTCGGAAGATAGGTATTTGTGAACTTTGGTTGTTAAAGAGACCCTGTCAAGACTTTGCTGAATGAGAATTTTAGCAATGTCTCACGCATTGTGATTTTGAGTATACAGCGAATGTTTACTCTACAAGTCAGTGGTATCTTGAATACAAGAAGTTATCCAAATGTATTTTATACTGAACAGTATCATCTGGGTATATTCATATGTGCTATTCACATATTTTCAGAGTTCCTGTGTAATATTTGTTTGTCACATTCATAGTAGTCACTTATTTACGGTTCACTTACAATTCAGTTATGTACGATCTGCCTGATAACTGAAGGTGACGCTGAGAAATACAAATCAGTCTGTAGAATTGAAAATTTATGTGTTCATTGAGAAGCATGTGCGGTTCACATATACACAGAGCACCATTTTATACCTACTTGGCATTTTGTACCGGTTCCAGCTTAATACTGGAAATTTAAGTTCGGAGTTTAAGTTCAAATTTAAGGCCGATCTGCTCATGAGGTAGGTTCATTGCTACATCACCTTTGCTGATATCAGATTCTTATTCAAAATTTTCTCAGGCGATCAACTCTTTTTTTTTTTTTTTAATTCAATGGCGGGTACTTGCCTATTCAGCACTGGCCACTCCTAAGGACAAAAGTCGTGGCCATTTTATTGAGAAGGCACCCAATAGGTGGCCACCATTGCCTCCTATAATAGGACAAACAGTTACAACCATGCCTTCTCCGGGATTCGAACCCGGTCCCTTGGGTATCACGGATTCATCCACTTTGCGAGAAGTCCCGATCCTTAGGCCAGTCTCGGACCTAAAGAGTCGGACATTTCATCAGCTCCTAAGAATATGGCAAGGACGTCAGGATCAAGCCTCCACAGGGAGACGTGTTTACGATTTCATTCCCTTCAAACCTCTGCCGCTTTGGCTTGAGAGAGAATAGCAACTGTGAATGTGGGGAGGAGGGTCATCCAGACCATTTTGTGTTCTCCTGCCTACACACAGCACTTAACAGCTTCAAGCAAACAAGAGCCAGATTCTGGCCAAATTAGTTCCGGAATCTACAAAGTAACAGAGTTGCCCAGCGGAAACTGAAAACAATTCTTCTGATGCTGGAAGATAGTAGCCATAAAGTCTATATATAAGCTAGTACAATATGTCAGCAACAGAGTATATGATATTTATGTTCATTATGTAATTTTGTATTTATGCTGTGCCAGGTTTTCATACACAAAGTTCGTACTGTAACTGAATGCTGTACTGTATCTGTACATGTTTATATCTTTTATTTATGGTACCTAATTTATACTAAGGATCACGCGTACCTCAATGGCTTGTTTCATGTAAACTTTAACTATCATGATAACGTATATATATAGATGTATATATGAATATGAGTGAGAGTATGTATACTTTTATTTGTTTCGGAATATATATGTATGTAAGTGTGTATATATCTGTATCTGAGTTGGTATTTATATGTATATACACATACTTTGATTGAACTCTTCTTCAAGTGCCTTGTATGCACATGTATATTTCTTTTTTGCATTTTATAAATGTCTTCTGCTCAACCGGGGCTATCCAGGGCTGCTGCTTGGCAGCTAGAGGTTGACTCCCGCTGAGTTAGTAATCAATTCTGCATAGATATATCTATACCTGGGTCGGAAGCCAACTCAGCGGTTTACTCCCCTAGCCATTATACGGTCTGGGCGGACGAGGCAATCAATATAAGTTTGGTATCAAATTTATATTCGAGAGGCGTTCTGTTGCCCCACGGGGTTGACTCAGAATTCCTAGGAAGTACTGGCGCTAGGATCTGTACTTAGGCAGTCTCAATTACAGAGGTATATAATCAGTCTCCGCAACACTCCTCCTCATTCGAGCTTCCGTTCATTCGAAGGTTGGTTATCGGGCTTGGCAGGGACCCTACTGATACTGTTGTGTCCGTACCTTCGGTTTTTGTGAAGCTAGATCGAAAATCACCGACCAAGTCCTCGGGGGTTTGGCCCCATTCAATTCGTGAGCGGGACTGGCAGAGTGGATAGAGCACCATTTTGACACCATTGATGCCGATGGAGTGGTGGTGCCTGGAGGCAAAGGTGTGCAGCGTTTTCAATTTTGCATCGTATTTTTATTGCATTGCCCAATGCTTTTCATAAAGCCGGGCGGGAACTGCAGCGGTTGCGCCTTCGTGGACGAGGGTCACTGGACCATCGATATCACAAATCCAAGAGGCAGTCTTTTACAGATTACAGGACGGGAACCTATATCTAGCGTTCTGTTGCTAATGTGGCCCATCTGTCATTCGTGCAGAAGGATGAGATAATGTGCATTATAATTAATTCAATCCTGTGCCTTGTCAGGAATTTTAAACCTATCTATTTGTTGTTATGCATTTATTTGGTAATTTAATTCTATTATTATCAATTTTATAAGAATAAATAAACTGTGCTGTTGTTACGATCCAGTCCAAGCGCGTCGATGTAATTTACTTCAAGCTGCAAATTATCTGCAATAAATGCCAATATAATACGCCCACATTTTATACTTTTTCTTGTTCTTTTTTAAATCCAATTGTTTCCATCAAGATTTCTCTGTCCTTCAGATATTACTTTAAATGTATTTCTTTGTTACTTAAGTTAGTCCTTTTTGCATCGATGCTAGTTTGTATGCATACTTTGTATATTTCTGCTGATATCTCAACTCTGTTCTTTAAAACAGATGCGTAGAAACTGGTCGATGCAACGTTCCCGATTGCGAATATGGGCCGTTTGACCCCGAAAACGGCCGATGTCCCAGAAGACCCAATTACGATGCTGACAGAAGACCCGATTATGACGGACCCAGATGGAGTGAAAGTGGCAGGAGACCCCGTCCGGATATTCGGAATCCCGAACACAGATGGAAATATTTAGAAAGGGATTGAAAAATGCTGAAATGAAATTAGTATGCCAAGCAACAACGCCAAGTGGTGATCCATTAACAGAGCTTTTTTTTAAAATCTTCAAGACCGAGATTTACAGGATTCGTCTGAGTGCCGGAATGCGTATGTTGGTCATACAAAAGCCAACTGGAGTACTTGGAGAGAAATTTTAAGTTTTGTATGGATTAATTATTTTGAAAACACTTTCTTTTGACTTATAGCGCTTTATTTCGGAACACATCTTATGTGCTGAGAACTTAAACATATAAACAACTGCTATGGATGGACTTAACGGACGATATTCTTTATTATTATTTCATTATTTAATAGAATCTTTGCAACAACTTTTGAAAGCAAGGCTATATTTCGTTTAAGTGAGAAATTCTCTTTAATTTGGTTATTATTTAAGGATAACTGAATCCAGTTCTTAAACCAAATTAACAGTTTATTAAGAATTTATTTAAGAATTAATTTTTTTTTAATTTGATGGTCTTTTAAAAGTTTTTTTATGTTAGACTAATAAGTAAGAGTTAAAAAATATATTATTTTTTTTAATGTAGATGTGTTGCAGCAAACCTGTTATACATCTTTCGTGTTAATACACCTTTGATTAAAAAAAACCTTTTGTGTGTCTTTAAAACCTGTTATCACTGCCTTTATTTTTTGTATCCATATTTTACATGTTCACATTTATGTACAGAGATATCAAATGTGCAAGCAGTTGTAAAATATAGCCTTTCACTGCACATTTTCATAATGTACTATGTATACAACTCATAATGCACATAGTATTGAATTTTTGCAAATGTATATTTTAGTCACAGGCTTTCAGAATGCCATTAATAAAAGCAGTGCGAAAAGAATATCAAGTGAAGAAAGCTTCTAAATGAGTTTGAAAAATGTGCATTTGTCTTATACAAATTTATCTGTTTGGTACAGAAAAGACTTTTGTTATACTTTGGAATTTTACATTTAAGATTTATTGTTACACATTTGCTTTAAAACTATGTTTGTGTACATACATAAGCGTACAATTTACCCTTTTTCGATAAATGAATAAACCAAATTTTGAACTTGAATAAAAATGTTTGCTTCTTAAAACAATTAAAAAAAACTGTATTACTTCCTTTGATATAAATATTAATCTCCGCTGTTATTTGAAACTTTAACACATGTTTATGTCTCGTTAGACGTTCTTAAATGAGATTAATGTAGCATTTTTGTACTAAACCATTTTATGAGACGAAAGAGTTTAGTCTGACTCTGAACTAATGAAGTTTGTTTAGACATCTCATGTGAATTAGTCAAAGATAAACTACCGCAAATTACAGAGCAAATAATATTTTAAAAAATCACTGCCATTCGTTTTCTCAGGAAAAGAAATTTTATTTACAGACAAATATTGTTATTTGAGTAAAATCCGAAATGTTCTTTTTTATTAAAACTAAATTGTCTTTTCAAATAAAATGTTTTCGATGATTGTGTTGCATTATTTAACTCAATACACTGTCTCATTTTTGTTTTTCATTTGCCAAATAATTTTACGCTTGTTTAAATTCCTTGTACAAAGTAAAGGAAGTATTGTACTCGCGAAAAATTGTTAGTTATTATTCTTGAGTAAAGACTCTTTACAGTAAGAATTGGAGGCTCCCTTCAGCCCACCTGGACACGAGTGTCTCCATAGCTCAAAAGAAGGGGCCCCGTACTCTTTACAGTATATCTCCTTAATAAAAAGCCCTCCAGCGTCCGAGCGGTAAAATCGCTGAACACTGGTAGTTCGGTCCAAGGTTCGAATCGCGCGAAAGGGCTGGCTGCATGGGCGTTTTCGAGGTTTTCCCCATGTGTAACGTGTATACGAGCCAGTTTCCCTTAAAACGTCCTCCACGAAGGCATCCCTCCCCTTAGGCAGATAGCCCTAGTGTACTTTGCCATAATTAAATAAACCAAAACCAAACCTTAAAAAAAAGTAATGGAAATTTTTAATGAAAAATTAAATAAATGATAATATAATAAATTTGAAAGAAAAATAAGAATAGAACGTTTTTTCTTGTATTTAGAAAATGGGTGTTTCTTGTGGTCGACGGAATTTTCCGCAAGTACCGCTAATTCTAGCGTTCTAATTCTGATGCCAATGTACCAAATACTCTGAATCCTGATAATGCTGTTAGTGATATTCTGTTGATGTAAAAGCTAAGGTATTTCAAAATGCCAAGTCCCTTAGTATACCACCTATTATGGTGAAATCCAGAAAGGGTATTATTTTTTATGCATTTAAAAAAAAATTCTGGATAATGAGTTACCTGATTGTAAATTTTATGGTCACCTAAGTGGCTAATTTCTTGAAGTTGTGCCATTTGATGGAAATAGCCGTAGAACGCCTAGTGAATATTTTTTCGATACTGGTATTAAGCGCTATGTTGTAAACCTCAGATAAGAAAGCTTGTGAAAATTCTACTTACGTGGTGACTCTAGTCTGTAGCTCTTACTAAGAAAGTGTTTAGCGTGCACATTAGATTGAGCAGTTGACAAACTAAAGTCGCCACGCCACTTCGTCAGGCTCCGATACTCCCAGATGATAATTTTGAACCTATTTATTTATGGTATGAATTATTTGATGTTCTTTATATCAAAGTTGAGAAATACGTCCTCAAAAATCTAGCACCCAGTGTCACAATTGCCAGAAATGGCATCTCTCGTCTGACATTTGTCATGTAGCTCCCTGGTCTGTTAAGTGTGCCGAGTTCCATAGAACTGGTAATTGTGATCATCAGGGACGGCTTGAGACCCCCAAATGGATTTGTTTTAAGGGCCGTTCAGATTGGGGTTTATTTGAGCTAATGGAGAACTACCTCCGCTCTTGCAGTTCAGATTTTTCAACTCGTTGCGCTATGAGGAAAAACTGGTTTTGGAGATGGGTCGGCTAAGTTAGTTGTCTCAGATAAACCTCAGTCTGAACAGTCCTTTAGACTGCATGTGGCTCGGTACAGAGGTTGTCCTAAATTTCATTCTGTAAGGAAAGGAAACATTTCGGTAAAAGTTTACAATTGGGTGCCCCTTGTTTATTGGCGATTCTTTTTTGATGCTTGACGCCAAGATCGGCGCCAGGAAGGTACAATTTCAAGATGGCCGCTACACAAAACCAAAATAAGAAGTCAAAGAATTGCACAAGATTTTGCTTTTGCTGTAAAACCTGCGTTGAGTTTTGCTCAGGCTCTCCAATACTCCAAAGTTGCCAAGGAAATACCCACCAGTATGGGATATCGCATACTTGCCAACCTATGACACTCAAAAATCAGGAGATGTTTTTTAAGAAATCGGGAGATTTTTCACAATGTTATAAAGACTTTTTAAATGAGGAAAATATAGTTTTTAATCATGAATTAACTAAATAAAAAAAATTAAAAATTAAATTAAATAGTAACTAATTCTTAAATGCAAGCAACACAAAAATACCTTACACATAAAAAACATTTTTATTACTTGCATCGTTTAAGTAAACCAAAAAAAAAAAAAAAAAACTTTTAATCAGTTTTCGTACAAATGGTATAAACAGTGGCAGATTTTGCTTTCTTTAAGAAAGAAACTTAATAATTTTGTTCATAGCAATTGCCACGTAGGCCTGCATTCACTAATAAAAGTTTTCTAAAGTGTCATCACTAATATTAGATCTAAATTTAGTCCTCGTTTTCGCAACAACACTGAAAATCCTCTCACACTCCGCATTACTATGGGGAACTGTTAAGATGGCCAACATAATTCTAGAGAGTTCACTATATTTTAAAATTCCATCAGCATCTTTCAGTTTTCCAATTAAACTCCATTGGGTGTCAATCCTAGCTGATTTTATAACTTCATCCAAGTTTTCTAATTGTAAACTGCTGTTATGCAGTTGTTGGACCTGTTTCAATTTTTCCTCCTTTTTAGAACTCCTTTCAAGATAATAATAAATATCAACAATGTGTTCATCCACATTTATTGGTAAAGAAGCTACTCCTTTTTCAGCTGCTAAATTTAAGAGGTGACAGGTGCACCTCATAATCTGCAAATCTGAATTTTCTTTTCTGAAGATGCCTGCAACACCAGTCTTCAAGCCTACCAATACTGGTGCATTATCGGCACCAAGCGCTAAGCAATTATCCAGAGGGACTGCATTTTCTTTTAAAGTTTTAATAATTAGCTGTGCTATATTAAAGCCTATCAAATGTCCTTCTAAAGTAGGGACAGAAAGTAAACTGCACTCAATTTCTGAAGACTCTGGATTAAAAAAAGAAAACAACAATTGGATACAATTTTGAATCGGTATTATTGCTTCCATCCGTTGAGAGGCAGAACGGAGCTGTTTTAATGCAATCAATAACTGAAGATTTATTTTTCAAATCCATTTCTTTAACAATTGCACCTCTTTTGGTTCCTGCACTTGAGTATTTCTTAGCGATTTCACTATCGGGAAACATTTTTCTAAATAAAGCTGCAGCGTGATCCGATGCATTCAGTGGCAGGTTGTGCTCCAGTAAAAAGGCAAAGAACAGACATTCTGCATTAATAACTTTTTGGAAAAAAAATTAATTTTTATTTCTTTTTTTCTATTTTTTTTTTTTTTTTTTTTTTTCCCCCAAAACAACTCATGTTGCCCTTGTGTTTTTGTGAAAGCACATGTTTGAGAACATCCGCCCTTCCACCATGCGAAATCGAAAAATCGCAACGACAGGCGGTACACGTTGCAAATTTATTACATTTTCTTGAGGAAATAATGGAAGGAAAGTCAACTGTGTACGATTTTTGAAACGTACACGAGTATTTCACCTTTCTCGCAGACATAATAAAAGATGATAATTTCTAAAACTATTTCCCGAAGGCACGTGTACTCACACAACTCAGGACAAAATGACCGAAATAACTAAAGAACATTCAAATAACAGCTTGTTTTGTCCTCATTAGCTAATATATGCCAGATGACATGCAGTGGAGCACGATGCCCATTGGAGAACTGGAGAAGGACGTTCCTGGATA